CACATATAATCTCATCATAGTGGTAGAGTTTACAACACATAAGGAAATCACATCAGATAACACAATCATACAATACTAGGAATCATGACCTAGCCAAGTTGCTACACACATTTTTTGGGGGACACAATTCAATCCATGACACTCTACATCCTACCATAGAGATATTGTCTCTATTTCCTTACCTTCATAGCTAAGCTTTTTGAAGAGTTTATAATGTCTTTTGACTTTCTCTTATTTAAATCAATCCTGAACCCACTGCATTCTGACATTTGTTTCCTATGTACCACTGAAGATAGTCTCAGCCTGGCCTTAATTGATCTCTATATAAGACCAAATATTGTGAGTGCTTTTTAGTGTCTATCTGACTTGAGTTCTTGATAACATTGGCACTGTAATCACTTCTTGGAAGTTTTTTTTTTTTTTTAATCCTCCTTTAACTTACTCTGTCCTTACTTTTCTCTTGTTTCTCTAGATCCTCCTCATTTTCATTATTTTATTTTTATTTATTTTTGGTAACAATATGCAGAACAAAACATACACCCATTCAACAATTTCTACATGTACAGTTCAATAACATTGGTTACACTTTTTAGTATTGTGTCACCATTCTTGCCATCTCTACCCATATTGTTTCACCATCATTAACTTAGACTCACTGCCCCCTAAACTTTTCATTATGCCTTATAGAGTTACTGTTGTCAATTTGATCTCATATAGATAATTCTTTAAAAAGTCTCAATGTTCAGTGTAAATGTTATTTACTGATTGAGCTAAACTGCTATTTAGTTTAAAGATGACTTCAGGGGAAAGTTTTGGTTCGAGGTTTAACAATAATCTTATGGCAGTAGATTCGGGGTTTCCTCAGTCTCAGTGGGTCCAGTAGGCCTGATTTTGATGAGAAATTGAAACTATGTTCCACAGTTTTCCTCCTTTTGGTCCAGATTCATCTATTGTGCTCTTGATCAAAATGTTCAGTAATGGTAGACAGGCACGATCCAGTTTATTCTGTTTTGAAATTGCCTCTTAGTTTTTAGGTTCCCTAGGTTATATCCTCAGATCTCTGCAATGCACTCTTCCTGGACAATCTCATCTAAACTTTAGTTACCACTGATGAGTCCCAGTTCCCTGCCACTGGCCCAAATCTCTCTCCTAAGATCCAAACATTAGATACAACCACTAACTGATCATTTCTACTTAGATGTGTTTTAGATGTTCTAACTCAATATGCCCCAAACTGAACTCAACATCTTCTCCTAATCAGACCCTCTTCCTTTATTACCTCTTTATTTAATGGAATCAAGTTCATTGCATTGGCCAGTCTAGGAATGAAAAGGTCACCAAAAAAGGCCATCTCCCTTACTTCCCACATCACATACCAAATCCTGTAGAGTTGAACCCCCTTAATGTCATTTAAATTCATCCCTTTTCTCCCTTCCATCTGCTTCTGTGCCCATTTTCACTCGTCTTATTGTTGCCAGTGCTACTGTTCTTGCCTTTAAACTAGCCCTCTGCCATTCATCCTGCTGCTACAGTGATCTTCCTAAATTGGAAATCTGCTATCTCATTTCCCTGTCTAAAACCCCTCAGTAATTCCTTATGACTTTGAGGATAGTGTTCAAAGTCCTGAGCTTTGCGTGCAAGGCTCATCATGATCTGACCCCTGCCTGTCTGTCTCTTCTCGTCTGCTGCTGCTATTCCACAAATGCCTTAGCTCTAAGCATATTGAACGGTTGCAGTTATCCCAATATGTCATCTGTCATGCTGGGCCTACACTTCTGACATTTTTCTCCTTGACTGAGAAATGGCTTTTTTTTTTTTTCTGTTTTCTGATTGTCTAAACTCAAGCAACATTACTTGCTTCCCTAATGCCTTGTTTGATTTCAATATACTTCCTCTTTGTTCCTCATAGCACCTTGTGCATACCAATATTTATGCATTTACCAAATTGTGCCTGTAATTGTCTTTTTATTTGTCTGTCTCCTTCAGTGGATTGTAAGCATCTTGAGGACATGAACTTTATCTTATTTTTATTTGAATCTTTAGTGTCTAACAATACTTGACTTATGGTAGGCTTATAATAATTTTTTTTGTCTAAATGAAAAAGATATTTGAAGAAAAATTATTTGTTTCAATCTGGCTAATCTTTAGACCCCAGGATTTGTGAAGATGTTAAAAAATAAAGCATCAAAAGAAGTACACATTTCATTCATGTAGGGAATTTTATTTTCAACTTTTAGAGGATTTTGTCTCTTTTTATTTTACCTTCTTTTTGGAAAGCAATTCCTCTAAACTTTTAAAATGGAGAAGGAACCTAAGTGTCCTTGTGAAGAAATAGAAGTGTCCAAGCACAGGATAGGTTCCCCAATGGTTGGGGCTGCTATAGGGGAAATCCAAGAGTTAGGAGGTTGGACCAGATAATGCCTAAGTTCCCTGTCATGGATTGAATTGTGTCCCCCAAAAGTATCTGTCAACTTGGCTGGGTAATGATTCCCAGTATTCTATGATTGTGTACCATTTTGTAATCTGATGTAATTTCCTTATGTTGTAAACTCTATCACTATGATGTAATAAGATGGATTAACGACAGTTATACTGATGAGGCATACAAGATTGGATAGTGTCTTAAGCCAATCCCTTTTGAGATATAACAGAGAAGTGAGCAGAGACACATGGGAACCTCATACCACCAAGAAAGCAGTGCCGGGAGCAGAGTGTGTCCTTTGGACCTGAGGTTCCTGTGCTGAGATGCTCCCAGATCAAGGGAAGACTGATGCATCACAAGGACCTTGAGAGGAAGAAAGCCTTCTTCTGGAGCTGATACCCTGGATTTGGACTTGTAGCCTACTGGACTATGAAAGAATAAACTTCTCTTTGTTAAAGCTATCCACTTATGGTATTTCTGTTATAGCAGCGCTAGATGACTAAGACAGTCCCTTTTCACTCTTATTCATCTATTATTCTAAACCCAGAAATTGTCATATTTTCATTGCTTTATTTAATGATGATAGTTTCTTTTATTCTCATGTTTTTTCTTATAAACTATAAGATTGAGAAGCAAAATAACTTAAATTCCACAGGTATTTCAAACTCAGCAACAATTTGTAGTTCCATTTAAAATAAACATGAAAAATATAAATTCTAAGAGAAAGCTCAGAACTATTTTCAGAATAGCTGTACTACACATTTGAATTTAATATGCTTAAAGTGAAAACTTCTGAACAAAGGATGCATTCTGCAGTTTCTTGTTCATAAACTAAAACAGAAACTTAAAGTTTATAAAGAGCATGCAGATTTGTAGGATGATTTCTTCTCCCCCTCAATTTTCTATTTTTTGTTTCTTTTCTCTTTAAATAGAAAAAATAAAATCCCCTTTGCCCTACAACTTTAAAAATAATTTGTAAATCTCTACAATTTTAAAATTTTATGGGTAGAGAAAAATCTCTCTACTAGTTCCACCAATAGCTATGTGATCTTGAGCAAGTTACTTAAGCTCACTGTATTCTATAATCTGTTAAATATTATGAATATATTTGCTTCATAGGATTATTGTCACCATTAAATGAGGAAATATATGTAAAGTACTTAGGATGGTGCCTGGCACATATACATATCGAAGAAATGTTACCTGTCAATATTATTATTGATATTTCTGGAGGGTCATGATGCCTAGACTTTCAAAGAAAGGAAGCATCTTGACTCCTCAGTGATACTCTTTTCTCATTTTGTTCTTCTCTCATTTCTTTTTATAGCTGCTATGGTCCACTCTACATCATCTCCTTTTTTGGTGTTATTCCTTCCCCCTCATGTTCTTCCTTTGACCACTTTCCTCCTGCCTCTTTTATATTAGTAAATTTTTATCCATTCTCTGGTCTCCACCACTTACTTATTCATACTTACATTTTATCATCTCTTTCTTTCTTTTGCAGCAGACCATGTGTCAACTTATGCCATATTTATACAGACTCATAGTCCATCAGGGGAGTATATGTTTGAGTTTGATGAAGATGAGATGTTCTACGTGGATCTGGACAAGAAGGAGACTGTCTGGCATCTGCCAGAGTTTGGCCAAGCCTTCTTCTTTGACGCTCAGGCTGGACCGACCTACATTGCTTCATTGAAGACGCTCTTGAATTACATGATCCAACTTTCCAACCACACCCAAGCCACCAATGGTACTGTCTATCTCTGCTTCTTCATCTTTGGCCCTACTGGGAAGGGTTGAGAGAGTTCCTCTGCTACACACAGAATGGGAGACCCAGATGCCCACTACTGAGTGGCCCTGTTTACCTGAGTGACCACAGGCTTAGTCCAGTATAGCCGAGGGCTTAGATTGTCCTTCTCACTCAAGAGAAAGGTTGAGCTGAGTGAGACTGATCAGTGGAATGAGATTCTTGACTCTGAATCATGATCCTGAGAAAGATGATACCCCACAGGTGGAGCCTTTGTATTTATCCCAGAACCGGGGTCTCACTAGGTTCTGTCTCCCCTCAGAGGCCCCCGAGGTGACTGTGTTTCCTAAGGAGCCTGTGCAGCTGGGCCAGCCCAACACCCTCATCTGCCATGTCGACAAGTTCTTCCCTCCAGTGCTCAATGTCACGTGGCTACGCAACGGGCAGACAGTCATTGAGGGTGTTGGTGAGAGCATCTTCCTGCCCAGAACAGATTACAACTTCTACAAATTCCACTACCTGACCTTCATGCCCTCAGCAGAGGATGTCTATGACTGCAAGGTGGAGCACTGGGGCTTGGAGAAGCCGCTCCTCAAGCACTGGGGTATGGAGCCTCTTTCCCTATGAATAAACTTGCCTGTGCCCTCTTCAATCCCAGGACCTAGTGCCCTCAGCACCTGCTTTCACCACTTACCAGGTCTCAGCCTTCTCCTTATCCTAACATGCCATCAAATGATCTATAACTTCCAAAGCCCACACACATCCCAAGCTAGTCCCATCTTTCATTGCACCTTCTGACCCCATCTCTTCCTTCTTCCCCCAGAGGCCCAGGAGCCAATCCAGATTCCTGAGACGACGGAGACTGTGGTCTGTGCTCTAGGCCTGGCAGTGGGCCTGATGGGCATCATTGCTGGCACTGTCTTCATCATAAAGGCTCTGCATTCCAGTAGTGACCCTCGGGACCGGGGGCCTCTGTGAGTTACTCTGGGGTAGGGATCTTAGGATACAGTCAGGAGAAAAGAGGAGGGAGCCTGGGATCTGTAGTGTATACGGAAGGGAAGAATTCAGTTTGATAAGTTTACATTGATATCTTAATGGGTTAAAAGCATTGAGTTGCATAACAACAACAACAACAGTAATAAATTATTGAGTATTTAATACGAGTCAGGCACTATTCTGGGTGCTTTACATTTTTTAACTAATTTTATCTTCGCAGACACTCTATGAGGTAAGTGCTATTATTGTCACCATTTTACATGTAAGAGATGTAAGGCACAGAGATATTAAGCAACTTGATCAAGGTCACACAGCCAGGAAGCAGTGGAGCTAGTTTTCAAACCCAGGAAGTCTGGATCCAAGACTGTTTGCTTAACCACTATCCTATACTCCCTATTTTATGAAGAAAAAGAGCAAGTCCAAACTCTCAAGGGGCCCATAGTCTGGTAGTGGAGCCAGATACGTCTTTCAACAAATAATTGCCTAACAGTGTGATAGATGCTTAATAGAGAGTTTGTTTGCTATTTCTACTGAATACCACTTGCGCTCACTGAATGGCAAGGCTAATACACAATACTCCTTCTGAGGTTCCATATTTCCTATTTATCATGATAATACATTTTATATATTTATCTGTTTTTATAGTTCTCCTCCCATTAAACATTAAGCATATAATATCTCTTAATTTATTCAAATATTTGCTTATGTCTTTTAATAGAATTAAAAAATGTCTTCCATATGAGTCTTGTGTATTCTTCATTCAGATCATTCCAAAGCCTTTATAGTTTGTGTTACTCTTAATGATACCAGATTCATAATGTTAGTGAATTTAAGGAGACATGAGATAATGAGCCACAGAGTGGAAGAGTCGTAAGTATCAGAGCACCACTGTTGACCTCTCCCTGTAACCATTCTCATAGGCTTTTCATCTCACCAGAGCTTTACTGTTATGCTGATATTATCCTGCCAACATCATTGGGCTTGGTTGGCTGCTGATTTCTGACTTACAAAGACACTAAGACAGACAATGATTCTCCCAAGGCAGTGTGGAAGAGAGGAAAGAACAAAACTTAAAAACTCTCCACCAAGTCTTACCACTGCTGCATCTAGCCACAAGCCAAACCAGGCTCCTGCCCCCATGTTCTCCCACCCCTTGCACCATGCACACTAGTTCACAATGGCCTTTGACCTCTCCAGATGTTTCTCATATTTTCAATGTTGGTTCCTCAGATCCAGGCTTTCTTTGTTCTTTTATAGTTTTCCCATAAAAGATTGTGACGAGGGAGGTGAAAACCAGGAATTCTTGCTAGTTGGTCATCTTGTCATGAATCAGAAACACCCTCTTCATCATTTTTGTACCTGTAAAGCTTAGCACATGTCCTTTGTTACATAGTAGTTCCTCAACAAATGTCTGTTGAGTTGTTTAGTATATCATTAATTCATCTAATATATATTTGTTGAATACTTACTGTGTCCAAGGTTCTTTTCTGGGTGCAGATAATATAATGATAAGCAAACATTTCCTGTAGCCAGGGAGTACAATAAAAGAAAATGATTATTAGAATACATATGGCAAAGGATGTAATAAAGGTGTTAACTGGAGCCTGGCAGTACAGAGAAGATGCAATCAACGGAGACTGGACAAGGTTGAAAAAAGTCCTCTAGTAAGGGTAAATGCATAAATCTTGAGGAATAAGTACAGTACAGTCAGGAAAAGAAAGGCATTCTAGGCAGAAGGAAAAACATATACAAAGAAACAGCAGCTTAAAAGAACATGATCCATGTAAGGAGTTCATCATGGCTATAAATAGAATGCATGTTAGGACATGACAGAAGGCTGAAAAGGTAGGCAGGGAAACTTTCATAAGACCTTATGTGCCATGTATGCTCTGCTTTGAATTTTATGATGAAAGTAATTGTGGAACCACTGAAGGATTTTAAGTAGGATGATGACACAATAATTAGTAACATTTTTTGAGCACTTACTATGTACCTGGAACAGTTCCAAATATGTTATATACATAGTGCCGTTTGATTCTCTTGATAGTCCTTTTAGATAGGCTACTATTCCTTGTTTATAAAGAGGATATTGATTTTAAAACTTAATAACTTCTACAAAATCACAGATCTAGTAATCGGTGAAGTTGGGATTAGAATTTGACAGCCTGGCAGGCAGTCAACAGTACAACTGTGGATATTTTGATCAGATATGATCAGATTTATACATAAAATGATGACTCTTGTGGTAGTATCAAGACTAGTTCAAGTGAAAAATAATAAGACGTTAATTACAGTAATGACAGAATGTATGTAAAGGAGAAGACAGATTTGGGGAGATATGTCAGAGATGGAATCTACAGGCTTGTTCACTGAATGGCCACCGACTCCTGTCCTGGGTGATAAACTGAGTGACGATGACATTTACTGAGACAGTAAGTGTAAGAGCAGAGGTGGGTTTGGGGGGAAAAATGAAGAGCTTAGTTTAGACATGTTGGGTTGGAGGTCTGTTAGACAACTAAGTAGGGAGTTCTGTAAACAGTTGAAAATGAGTGTATGAAGTTAAATGGAGAGGCCGAAGCTGGAGATAAATAACTTTGTCAGTGATCTACATATATGTAGGTCACTGTTGATGGTATGAGATTGTCCAAGGAGATTGTTCAGAATGAGAAGAACAGAACGAGGAGAACCCTGGAGAATGCCAGTCTTTAAGGGGAATTATAGAAAGCAGAGCTGGGACTAGTAAGGCACTTGCCTTGGGTACAAAACTCAAGGGAGCACCAAAAAACTCAGTAATCGAGATAAATGATATTTTAGCACAATATTAAAAATCAAAATTAATGCAAAAATCCATTATTAACAAAATACCATAAGTACTCAAAGAAAACTGAGAGAAAGCAGAGAGGCTGAAGAATTGGGAACATGTTATTATATAAGCCAAGGGAGTAAAGAATTTCAGGAAGAAGAAAGTATTGAGTCGTATCTGATAATCAACAGAGATCAGCTGAGAAAATGTACCGTGTTTTTGGAATCCCTTCAAAGAGCAGTTTTACACAGTGTGACCAATTATCCTTCCTTCACTTTCATCCCAGAGTTAAGCTTATTCTGTGGCCTCAGTAATGTCTCCACTTCCCTTCTGAGGATATTTTGGAGGCTTGAAGCATTTAGGCTGTCTTCAAAGTCAGCTTGGAATTGGGGCAAAATCCTATCACTTTAAGATTCTATGTGACTCCTCACTGCTGCTCACCTGGAGGACAATGGCAAGTGCAGGAATGACCACATAATCCCTAGGGCCTGGACAGGGCAGAGATAAGAGAAGGAGCAGATATAAAAGGAATGAGTAAGGTGGGCCTGAGCTTGGAGTCCTGAACCCAGGGATGACAGTAACGGTATTTGTCTTGCTGCAGGTGACAAGATTTATGTAAAATGAGAGGACCTAAGAGACATCTGAACTCCAGCTGCCCTACAAACTCCAGTCTCAGCTTCCTTTCTCACTTTTTGTGCTCTCCACCCCAATGACTGACTGACCTGCTGAACCCTTTAAGTCCTGTCCTCTTTTATGACTGTAAAGCTCCCAGGCCCAGCAAGGTTCCTGGCATATAATGGTGATTAATAAATGTTGACATTTTTGTAGCACTGGTGTGGATATAATTCCGTTGCTGGGTGTCTTAGGCTGGGTTCTCTAGAGAAGCAAAACCAGTAAAGTGTATAAATATATATATAGAGAGAGAGTATACCAAGGAAGCAAGCTAATGTGATAGAGGCTAGAATGTGCCAAGTCTGTGGATCAGGGTAGAGGCCTCTCCCAAGTCACACAACTGCAGAAGCTGGCAAGCCCAAGATCGGGAGGTCAGAGAGCAGGGCTCCCACTCACAGGCTGTGCAGATAGACGAATCCCAGGTTCGGCAGATAAGCTGACAGCTCAAGTCCCAAGAACGGGAGATGAGAGGACAGGAAGCAGCTGCAGGATCCAGAGAGAGCAAAAAGCCAGAATGTCTGCTTATATACAGATGCGGGCCACACCCCCAAGGAGACTCCCTTTCATCTGATTGGCTACTCACAGTATATTCAATCATGGGAGTGATTACATTAAAACACGGAGAATCATGGCCCAGCCAAGTTGACACACAATCTTAACCATCACAGTCCACCCCTTGTCAACTTGGCACATGTACACATCTCCTTAAACCATACATAATCTCTGAATAAAGACAATGAGAAAGTCATACTTGTGCCTAACATGATGCAACTAACATGCGTACAATCAAAAACATACTAGCCCCATTTACAGCTTATATTTTATAAGTGAAGGAAACAAAAATGTGATGCACACATACAAAGTACAATACTCATAACAATTACAGTCCCCGTTTCTGCAACTGGTCACGTGGCCATAACTGGTATTTAGAACTACCTTCTACCACCACCCATTCCGTATTTCCTTTGCCCTCTGTAAGCACCTCGGCTGGTTGTGGTTCTTTGCCTGGTGGGGTGACCCAAACCTTCATTCCTGAAGGGTCTGTGTCATTAGTAGTCATGTCAGAATTAGGTTGCTGTAGTTTTCCATTGACTTTAATCACAGGGCATGGTAGTACTAACAGACACCCCAAGGAATCTCCTGCATTCCAGACATACTCTTCTTTACCTCCATTATGTAATATGAATCTGAGTTCCTCTTGGTAATCAGGATCAATCACACCAGTCAGTATGGTAACTCCCTTCATTGCCTGTTGAGCCAGAGTCATAAGAAGCCCAAAGTAGCCAGGTGTCATTCTTAACTTCCAGTTCAATGGAATCAGTGATGTGTCTCCAGGTGGGAGCATTCCTCCCTTTGGAACTAAGACCTCTAGGCCTGCAGAGAATAAGGTCGAGTGGACAGGAAGCAAAAATCTTGCAAGTGGGTCACTAGGGGTAATAGTGAGTGGTGCCACTCCCATTTCCACCCCTTGATTCCTGGACCCATGAATCCTGGCTATGGGAGAAAC